TTCCTTCCTTCCTTCCTTCCTTCCTTCCTTCCTTCCTTCCTTCCTTCTTCCCTCCCTCCCTTCCTTGCCTTCCTCCCCAGTGTTAGAATGCAGTAATGCAGGCTAATTCTGCCGACTGCAAGCAGTTCGATTCCCACCGGCTCAAGGTTGACTCAGCCTTCCAGCCTTCCGAGGTCAGTAAAGTAAGGACTCAGATTGTTGGGCGCAAGAGGCTGACTCTGTAAACCTCTTAGAGAAGGCTGTAAAAACACCATGAGACGGTATATAAATCTAAGTGCTATTGCTACTGCTATTCTTCTACCTAACAGTAAGATGCCTTAGAGAAAATGTCCTTCCTGGATGAGAGCATGATAGAGAACGAGGATCAAAGCTAAAATCTATTTAGGGCAGTAATCTAAACTTGCAGGCAGGACTTATTCTCCCAGCCTTAGAAAAAACATAGAAAAACAGAGTTGGAAGGGACCTTGGAGGTCTTCTAGTCCAACCCCCTGCTTAGGCAGGGAACTCTATATCATTCAGACAAATGGTTGTCCAGTCTCTTCTTAAATGCCTCCAGTGATGGAGCATTCACAACTTCTGGAGGCCAGTTGTTCCACTGATGATTTGTTCTAACTGTCAGGAAATTTCTACTCAGTTCTAGGTTGCTTCTCTCCTTGATTCAGTTTCCATCTATTATTCTTGTACTTTGGAGACTAGATTAGCTCTCTCTTCTTTACGGCAACCCCTTAAGAGTTTGAAACACTACTTTCACACAACTCAAGGTCAAAAATATAATTCACCCATGAAACCTGGCCTCTGAGCTGCTGGAGATCTATCTCATTAGGCTACCGCTTGCCAGCTTTAAACAAGTTTTGCTGGCCTCTTCATCAACTATGCATTTGCATTCCAAAGAGTTAGAAACTCGTTGCTCAAAAGCCAAACCCTGAATAAATGGCTCTCGTAACCCTTTGAAAGGACAGCTTTAAATGCAGAAAACTGGCCATTAGAACAACATAGAAGTCTATTCCATGATTATAGGCAAGCACAGAATATATTGCAGGCCAAACAATTCCTGGGGTGCAGCTTTTTTTTTAAATTTTCCTCAATAACTATTCTTAAGGATTGCATTTAGGGCCAAGCTGGGGTATTGACCCCTTTGAGCTGAATTTTTTTTTCTTTTACTTTTTGGCAGGCAATAATTGGGTAAGGGGCAACAGATCTTTGCTCAGCTAGAAAGTAATGAACTGTGTAAATAAACAGGCCACTTCCTTTACGATGTTTTTATATAGATTTTTCCTGACACTGAGAACCATTAATCACTGGAACGACTTGCCCCCAGAAGTTAATTTGCTCCAACGGTGGTGGTTTTTTAAGAAGTCATTTGTCTGAAACACTGTAGAGTTTCCTGGTTGAGCAGTGGGGTTAGACTAGAAGACCTCCATTGTCCCCTCCATTATTATGCTAGATTATTAGCTTTAAACACCTATGTTTAAGAATATATATAAGAATATGTCTATATTCTGTGTTTGTGCACCTTTTAATACCTTCTGACCCCTGGCAGCTACTTAGATAAGTCCCTTCAGAGTTTTTTTTTTTTTTGTGTGTGTGTGTGTGTGTGTGTGTGTGTGTGTGTGTGTGTGTGTGTGTAAAATTTCAAAAGTTGGTTTGCCATTGTTTGCTCCCAAGTTTGAGAGAAAAGGACTGACATAAGATCATCCAGCTAGATTTGTGACCAAGGCAGGACTAGAATCCACAGTTACTTAGTTTGTAGACATCAAAACTAGTTCTCGTTACAATTATCTACCTCCTTGTAAAATAAATCTGGATATGAGCTGTATATTTATGCAGATAGTTTGGATGTATTTATGGAGTCTATGGTCATATTAAAGATTGCATTAGATTGTTAGGATAGGATAGCTCCTAAAGGCATGATAAGAAACAAGGGATGGAAACTAATCAAGGAGAGAACCAACCTAGAACTAAGGAGAAATTTCCATTCAGCCAACCAATTGTGGGTGCTCCATCACTGGAGGCTTTCAAAAATAAACTTGACAACCATTTCTCTGGAATGGTATAGGGTTTTCTTGCTCTTCCAACTCTGATATTCTGATATGCTTTCCCAGGATGTCTTTGCAAGCTACAGTGTCATTAACCCCACTTCACATGTATAATACAGAGACGAGGTGAATATCATATAACAGGGGTCTTCAAACTTGACAGCTTTAAGACTTGTGGATTTCAACTCCCAGAATTTCTCCTCCAGTCGTGTTAGCTCAGGAATTCTGGGAGTTGGAAATCCACAAGTCTTACTCTTGCCAAGTTTGAAGACCCTTGTCATATAACATGAGATGCTATTCATACAGTCCTCAGACAGTGTCAGCTAATGCTGGAGAAGTATACGTGTGTGCGAGATCTCATTACATTTGGGCAACCTTCGTGGCTATTTGCGCGCATTGACTTTACTTTGTTGATATTTTATCAATGACTTTTGCTGATAGTCCTGAACCGTTTTTGAAAAGGTCAGAGCATCTCATGAAAGCAGGATAAACTAGTCACACTGTCCCAGCTTGAATCATCTCATGAATATTTGAAATGATGCATGCAAAATATTTCTTCTAATGCAACATGTTCACCTGCAGAAGGTGCTATTTCCATGCTATTATTATAATAATAATAAACTGGATTATAATATGCTGGATTAAAGGCCTGGAGACTAAAATGTATGAATAACGCAGGCAGGATTTGGGTTCGGCTAGTCTAGAGAAAAGAAATTCTACAGAGGAATGATTGAGTCTGTTCATCTGCATCTCTATAACTGTCTGGTTTGGTTCTGCAACCCAACGGGACTCCAGAGAATAATTAGGATTGCAGAAAAAAAAATTATTACCAACCTGCCTTCAATCGAGGACCTGTATACTGCACGAGTCAAAAAGGGGGCTGTGAAAATATCTATAGACCCCTCACATCCTGGACATGAACTGTTACAACTCCTTCCCTCAAAATGACGCTATAGAGCACTGCACACCTGAACAACTAGACACAAGGACAGTTTTTCCCCCAAACGCCATCACTCTGCTAAACAAATAATTCCCTCAACACTGTCCAACTTTTTACAAAGTCTGCACTACTATTACTGTTAATCTTCTCATCACTCCTTATCACCCATCCCCTCCCACTTGTGACTGTAACTTTGTCACTTATGTCCTAATGATTTATATTGACTGTTTCCTGGTATGATTTGATTGCTTATTATACCCAATGACTATTATTAAGTGTTGTACCTTAAGATTCTTGACTCTTGATGAATGTCTTTTCTTTTAGGTACACTGAGAACGTTTGCACCAAGACAAATTCCTTGTGTGTCCAATTACATTTGGCCAATAAAGAATTCTATTCTATAAAGAATTCTATTCTATTCTAAAAAAAAAGAAGAAGAAGAAGGACTAGTGGGAGACATGATAGCAGTCTTCCAGTATTTGAGAGGCTGCCACAAAGAGGAGGGGATCAATTTATTTTTCAAAGCACCAGAGGGCAAAACAAGAAACAAAGGATGAAAATTATTCAAGGACCGAAACAACCTGGAACTAAGGAGAAACTTCCTAACAGTGAGGACAATAAACCAATGGAAAGGGTGGCCTTCAGAAGTTGTGGGTGCTCCATCACTGGAGGTTTTTAAGGAGAAACTGGACAGTCACTTGTCTGAAATAGTATGGGTTTCCTGCTTGAACAGGGGGTTGGACTAGAAGACCTCCAAGGTCCCTTCCGGTTCTATTCTGATGGTGCTGCTACTGATGATGATGATGATAATCCCACACCAGCTCAAATCATGTTTTCAGACTGACCTGTAAAGATGTTCCATTAATGCTGCCAGAGTTGCTTTGTTGACAGGTGGAAGCGTGCGAATGAAAGTGCTGTATTTTCTCACTCTGTCTTTGTTATCCAGTGTATCTGATGGAGAAGAGGGAAGGGCAGAAATTAAATTACCCGGGATTAACTACCATGCAGATGAAAAGACAACCAGAATTGGCCTGTCCCTTCAGCAGCAACGAGGCGTTTGCAAAGATTGTTTATCCAATCACCCTCTCCTTCATCGACACAATAGAAATGAAGGTAAGTCCTTGACTTATGACCACAACTGAGCCTTTGCTCACAACTGAGTTTTGGTCACCACAACATCGTAAAAAAAGATGTTGACACTCTGGAAAGAGTGCAGAGAAGAGCAACCAAAATGATTCGTGGGCTGGAGGCTAAAACCTATGAAGAACGGTTGCAGGAATTAATGTCTATCTAATGAAAAGAAGGGACCAGGGGTGACAGAATAGCAGTGTTCCAATATTTGAGGGCCTCCTATAAAGACAAAGGAGCCAAACTATTTTCCAAAGCACCAAAAGGCAAGAAAACAAACAGTGATTGGAAACTAACCAAGGAGAGAAGCAACTTAGAAGCAAGGAGAAATTTCTTAATGATGAGAACTATCACCCAGTGGAATACCTTGCCTTCAGAAGCTGTACGTGCTCCATCACTGGAAGTTTTAAAGAAGAGATTGGATAACCATTTGTCTGAAATGGAACAGGGTCTCCTGCTTCAGCAGACGGTTGGACTAGAACAGTGGTCGCCAACCAGTGGGCCAGGGATCACTGGTGGTCTGCGAGAAAATGTTGGTGGTCCGCAGAGAAATGTCACCTCCAAAGCAATTAATCCAGGCTGCACGGGAACACAAGGCTGTGCCGCCCACATGGCCCGCGGGAACACAAGGCTTGCATCGCTTGCATTGCGAACAACACAAGGTAGTGAGGGGAGGAGAGGAAAAGGCGAAGGGGGGAACTTGCCCCACTTGCCCCACGTGCCTGGCCTGGCCACCGGGCTGCTTCTTTCCACTTTTTTCTTCTCCTGCTTTTGGCTGCACGCAAGGAAAGCAGCAAAAGTCTTTCTTTCTTTCCCCCAAACTCCACCATAAATGAGTCTTTGAGACCCTGCAAGTCATCCTGCTCCAAGAGGCTGTGCCGGCGTGACAAGTTTCACAAAGACTCATTTCTGGTGGAGTTTGGGGGAAAGAAAGACTTCTGCTGCTTCTGCTGCTTTCCTTGCATGAAGCCAAAAGTCTCTCTCTCTCTCTCTCTCCCCGAGAACGGAACTGGAGATGGTATCCTGCTATCCCAAATAAACAATCATTGATTGATAGGAAAACGAGGTTGGGAATTTTCCTGCAGACTTTTTGGGGGGATTTTCCCAGGGTCTCTGGTCCGCAGGATTTAAAACTATGAGTTTGGTGGTCCCTGAGGTCCAAAAGGTTGGCGACCCCTGGACTAGATGACCTCCAAGGTCCCTTCCACTTCTGTTATTCTATGTTTTATTTTATATTGCAGCAGATAGAGCTTCAGAACTATTGCATAATGTGTTACCTAATGCTGAGATCCAAAAAGGATAAAGTTCTTTGGTCAGTAGTGCATCGTCTATTTCACAAAGAAAATATTTTAGTGTATCCGTAACATCTTCCAGCCGGTTCGTCCCAGCTCTCAGCTTAACACTTCTGGCATCTTTTTTGAAACATTCCAAAAGCTCCTTCACATATGAAGGATCTCCATTCTTCAGGTAAATATGTTTGCTTCCCAAACCTTAAATAAGAAAAAATAAAGTTATCAGCCAAAAACATTATTAAAAAAAACCCCAACCAATGTCAAAGAAACAAGATGTTCCATGGCATTATAGGCAGAACAATCTCGTACAATGGCGCTGAGCCTTTTGTTTATATTTCATCTGCCGAAAATGTTTTGAAATTGTTTAGATGATGTTGCTGAAAGCAAAATTCAGATCTTGAAGACAACCTTAATGGGGTTGGTTTTTTTTCTTTGACCTCCAGGAATGCCAACACACTCAACACAAGGTGGAGACATATTAAAGAAGGCTGCCTTAAAGAGATATATAACTAGAGATGTGCTGTATAACTAGATATACACCTACATTGGTTATTCAAAGTTTTTCATATTCTACAAATAATCAGATAAAACTCCATGATTCCAGTCGTTTTCAGCTCTTTGTGGATTAGCAGGGTGGAAAATGTAAAGCATGCCTATTATGAAAGAGCAGGATATAGAACACACATTCAAATCTAAACCCAGTTACAGGTAGTCCTTGACTTATGGCCACAACTGAGCCCAAATTTTCTGTTGTTAAGTGAGAAATTTGTTCAGTGGTTCTCTAGGGTGCTCTAACTTCAATTTCCCAGTGCTATTGCCCTAGTAATGAGATATCGTGGTACCTTGAAACTCAACTGCTTTGAAACTCATCAAATTTGGTACTCAGTGCATTTCGACATGAAAATGTGGTCCTGGTACTCATCATTTGTTTGGTACTCAACACACAAACTAGAACTTCTCAGTGTCGGCTGCCTTGTGACTCACTACGTTATTCCTTATGGGAAAAATTTGTTTCATATTCATTGTTTTTGGCACTCATTGTGCCTCCCAGAAACAATTAATGATGAGTACCAAGGTAGTACTGAACAAGTTCCATTCTCAGCACACCTATTCCAAACTGAGCATTATACTCAAAGTGTAGTTTTTACACATCACAGCTCGAGCCCACATAATGTAATCTGATGGCAAAGTCTCTTAAGGACTCTATCCAAGTGCCTCTCCAATTTTCGGAAATCTAAACCAATGCCCATCTCCACTTACCATACTGCGTAACAAATGCGATACAGCTGTTCACTATAATCGGCACATCATTTCTGCTGAGCTGCTGATCTTCTAACAGGTTGCCATTGGTACGTGCTGCTTTTTCAATAGCGCTATGCCAGGCGATGAAATCCAACTTGGTGTGGCCGCGGATGTATAATGTTCTGCAAATAA